ACAAGACAGCAGTTTTCCTGAGTCAGAAACAGTATGTTCATGCTCATCCACTGGCCACTCTCTAGCTCAGGGAATTGGCCCAGCCCTGAAACAGCTTCCCTGCTAGATGAAGCACCACTGAATCCCTTCCCTCCCTATCAGAGACCCATTAGGTTTCACTATGCTTGAAGTAGTGACCTGCTTTCTCAATCCTATTACAGGATTTGAAAACGACTCTGCAGTTCTCCAAAGAGGCAAATTTATTTTCAGGAAGAAGAATCATTAGCTCAAATGCATTATAGTTCTTAATAATACAGAATTTCAGGGTTGAATGAAACCTTCCTTTTGAGGAAACTGAGGCACAGAGGGGTGACTTGTTCAAATGTGCTTGGAAGAGTTGAGAGTTCAGCATACTGAGTGGAGTGGAAGAAAGGTGATTTGGGAGATTACTGATTAAGAGCTTCTAAGCACAGTTCTTGCATCATTCATTTCATCTATTCATTCAACATAGATGTATTGGTCACTCGTTGTGTGTCAAATAATGTAATAGATGTTGGGGATTTGGGAGAACAAGACAAAGAAAGCTCCCATCCTCTTGGAGTTTACAGTATAGTAGGGGATAGAGATAACAAATGAATCAATGTCCTTAATTAATTATAGATTTTTATTAGGGTTACAGAGCAACTCAGTAGAGTGCAAGGTCATAAGGAATGAGAAAATAGTTTCTTCTCCTTTATCTCCCAAGAGTTAATCATGAAGGCTTAGGTGAGGCAGACTTTGGAAAAGAATGTTCCAGGTGTTGGCAACTGCAAGTGCAAAGGCCATAAAGTAGGGAAAGGAGGGCATGTTACATGACCAGGCAGAGTGCCCTTGAAATAGTGTATTGGAAGCTGGAGGCTGGCAGGGAGGCTGGAGGGGGCGGATGGGTCACATAATGCAGGCCACAGATTTTCTCATTAAAAGAATGCTCAGTAGATAAAATTAACACTGTCCCTGAGCTTCAATTTTCATTTCCAGAAAAAAAAAAAAGATAGTACTAATTATATCAATGATTATTATGTCAATTAAAGGAGATGGTTGCTTATCACCCAGCATGGCACTAGGCACATGTTAGGAATTCCCTACCTAGAGTCGTCCTACCTTGTGCCTCACCTTTATTTGTTTTGTTTTTGTTTCTTTGGCTGCACTGTGTGGCATGCAGGATCTTAGTTCCCCTGCAGTGGCAGCGCAGAGTCCTCACCACTGGACTGCCAGGGAATTCCCCTGTGCCTCAGCCTTAAATTCATCTTCCAGCAGCCACTCCCTTGGGAGAACCATACTCAGAGTGAAGGTGCAAGTGCGGTGGATGGTGAGCCATCAGTGGGAAGACAGAGGGACGTGGGGGGTGTGGGAGTGAGGAGGGGCTGGGGACCTGGGATTTCCACATTAAAGACAGGCTAAGGAGAGATCAGCATCCTCTAAAAGCAGCAGGATGCCTGCTGGGAGGTGATGCATGGACAGGGAGAGATGAAGACATGCAGTGACCTGACGGGTCCCATGTGGGGGCTGTTGGTTTTTGGGGCCACTCTCAGACTGCAGAAATTCACGAAGACCATTTCTTGTTATAAGAGCCGTGCTCCCCTGTAGCCTAATCAAGTCTTGACATTTGAATTTCTAACTAATTTGGGGGAAATAAATTTTCAGATTCTCATCATATAGTACTTGTTAAATATGAATAGAAATAATCACTTTGCTGAAGTGATTATCATGCCCAAGAATAATTGTAGACTTTTCCCCAATTTTTACTTTTAGATAAATGTCAAATATCTTCTTTAAAGTGCATTTGATTTATTTTTTCTTAAGAATCATTAAAAAGTAGTAAAATATGATGAAGGTGCAGGGAAGTACAGGGAAATAATGGGAAATGTGCATGAGGAGAAAGATACGTTGACCTGGCAGAGAAAATTTTCTCAGCAGTGATTTTAGTCACCAAAGAAGTAAAAGCTATTAATACTAATTTCATCTAAAGGAGACCAGCAGCGAGTGGTTGTGTTTTCCCCAGACATTTCTGGAAGCCTAGTTCAGAATGGTTATCCATTATGAAATGGGGGCCCGTTATGGTAAAGTAGGCATTCAGGATCTGAGATCACAGGGCAGGCTGGCTATTCAGAGAATGACCTTGTATGAGGCACTTAACCTATCTGAGCTTCAGTTTTCTCAGCTCTGAAGTGAGAATACCAAATTTACTTCAGGATAAACTGAGATGACATACAGGGTGCGAGACACCATCTTTGGTACCTCAGTAAAAGATATAAGTCTCTTTCCTTCCTTTCTTTCTCTCAGGAGAAAGGGTGGTTGAGCAGTGGCTGGCAACAGGACCCTGAACTCCTGAACCCTCAGACTCCCTAGAGACACTCCGCAGACAGATTCAGGAAAGGTCTCTGAAAGAGTTTCTACATGTTGTTGTCCAGGACTAATGAAGCAAGTTAAAATGGAATCACACAGAGTACTAGTGTCTCATCTTGACTAGAAAAGAAAGTCCTATGGTCTTCATTATAACTTTTCAAACCATAAGAGCCTCTTGGAGGTCCAAATGAAGCCCATTAAGCCAACCTGGATCCTTTGCTGTGATTTCACAATGAGCAACAGTTCTTTCACATGCAGTAAGGTAAGGGTTTCATGCTGGTAGCTTTTAAAAAAGTTCTCCACCCCTCCCAATCTTTTCAGATCATGGGTCTAGAACAAAGAGAGGATGAACAGTCTTTGAGTCACTTCCCCCAAGCTTCACAGCCAATCGTACCATTCACGTGATTAGGAAAAGCAAACACAAGATAAAACATGGTAAGACAGGATGGAGAAAAATGTTTGTGCCAATGGCTTGTGCAAAGTGGAACTAATCCTACTTCTCTTTGCCCCTGCCAGACATTTCTTGAGAGGGCTTCTCTTAGATGATTTCCTGTGTCTTTTTGTTTTTTTTTTTTTATTTCTAATTTTCCTTTGAATGATATAATCTCCATGCCACAAGGAAAGAACAACTTACATCAAAGGAATTTTATATCCACATTTATCAAAATACAGGAGAAACTCTAGCAGCCCCTGCCCATGGCCATCAGGCACTTCCCTTGCCTATTCCAAGCCTGCCCTTTGGGAGAGATATGACCAGTTATGTGAGCCAAGTGGATTTCTAACTAAGAGAATCCTCATCAGCAAATCATTCTCTTAAATGTAACAGAAGTCCCTAGATTCTGTTAAGAAAGACTCTTGGGAAGGGATACTTCTTGGCATTTTGAGGGCTATGCATAAAATCTGGGTGTTTTTCTCATTTCTGGCCCACACTCCATTACACACTTTAATGACTGTATTAAATTCTCAGATGAAGCCTTAAGATAAAGAGAAGCTGATGATATTTATTCACCTTTCAAGTTCTTTAGTTGCTGACATCACTGCAGCATGCTTGCTTTCTTTACTGAGAGGTACTTATAATATCTAAAGACTTGTTAATGCAACTATAGTCTAGAAGTAAGTAACATATAGTTTGCCTAACTGGAGAAGCAACGTGTCACTGTGGAGAAAGCATCAGATGGGATAAAGGAGGTTCAGTGCCCGTTCCTGGCTGTGTCGCTCTGGGAAAGTTATTTTATCTCCTATAAAGTGAGAGGATTAGCCTTGATGACGTCTACGATTGTTTGCAACCACAATTTAAAATATGTTCTATGACTCAGTGGCTTCTGAGAAATGCCCTTCCAGTGTGAGATATAGCACTAGAGAGTCAGGCTGGATGACTGAGCCCAGAGAGCTCTTCTAAGTGACTCAGAAACACACAGTTCTGCATTTGTATGGAGGGGTTGGTCTACTTGTGAAATTAGTGCCCATTACCAGTCAACCCAACAGTACACCCCAGACATTTTAAACTAGGGAGTGTAATAACACCTTGTGTCATTTTGGGTAAGAACATTGCCTCATGCCACAGTAACCACTTAAATATAGAGAGGCACCCATTAGGCCAAGTAAATATAACCTGGCTATTTTATTCCTACTTTCCCCAAAATTCAATTCCCTGATTTTTTATTAGTGCTTCTATTTTAAACATCTGGCTTGCCTCTCCCATTGTCTCTGTTTATGCTAGAGTTTCTCAGCCTCAGGACTATTGGCATTTTAGGCTATGTAGTTCTTTGTTGTGGGGTGGGGGGGATCCTGTGTCTTATAGGATGTTTAGCAGCACCTCTAACTGCTAGCTGTCAGTAAAATGCCACCATCCCCAATACGACACCAGAAATGTCTCTGGACATTGACAGAAGTTTCCGAGGGGGTGAAATCACTCTGGGTTGAGAACCACGAGTCTAGGTTTAATCTTTTTTAAAATTTATTTTTAATCTATTTTTTATTTTGATTCTGAGTTTTCTTTCTTAGACATAAGACCAGTGCTATATCCTGAAGTGCCCAGAAAGTATTAACACTGTTGTTATCATTCTTAATGTTATTAAGATCTTTCATTTATATAAGATTTCACAATTTATTGTTTCCACCCACATTACCCGTGGAGATTAATGCATGGCAGCTCATTGTCTGTAATAAATTAGAAGAGAGAAGCATCTTTTCCATGACTCTCTCCATGCCCCTTTTTCACTGTGCTTGGAATCTTGCATGTTTGACAAAAGAGGTCTTGCCATGAGGAAGATGTATTTAGGACAAGTAAGGCATTGTGTAAATGAAATCTAGCTTGTTTTTTTCAAAGGACATAAAAGAGGAGATGATTAATCAACTTGAAATGATACTCTTCTCCTCTCAATCTCTGCTGGCAGGATCTATATATCTCCGAGTATGTACACAGGACCACACATCTACAACTACATACGAACAGGTGGCTTCAAAGAGGTCTGAGCCCTATGACTCTTTAAAAGGGTTCTGAAATCTGCAATCTTCAGCCTAAAGTGGACTGCTGGCATTTTATCATGCTGCACTAAGTGAAAGCAGATGGCATGTCTGAGAAAGATAAACGAACTCATCTCCCAGTATTTTCACCTCCTTCTTACCCCTCTTACCTGCTTAAGGATTTCAGCGGCTGTTTCATGTGAACAATCAAATATCACATAGAACTCCTTGCCTTTCTTCATCTCCTTGAGTAAAGGCTTGGCATCTTTATTCCCAGAGGGCAGCTGGCGGATTTTGATTTTAATGTTATATCTGGAGGGAGCTTTGATGAGCTCTTGCAGACGAATGAGACCTAGAAAATGACATTCAATCATGCAACAAACTGTTCTGTCCAAAGTATGTTTATTGCCATTTATAGGCAAACTCATATAATTCCCAAAATGTATCAAGACACCATCTACCTAAAGGTTACATTATTGACTTCTCATTTGTCATTCCTCTTTCTATGAAATTCCTCTTTCTATATGGATTATACTGTATTTTCCTTTTGTGGGTATGTGTGGCTGGAAGCACAATTTTCCCAAGAGGATTCTGAATTTTTTAGAATGCAACTGTCCTCTCCAGCTTTCACCACAAATCTTTAACAAATCAAGTCAATACTGTAAAACTTTTGTAAACAAAAAGTTGCTTGAAGTTTCCAAAGATGCTTTTTGAAATGGATAACACCCATTCACTTTAGAACACTAGAATTTCTTGGGGTTATAAACCTCTGTAAACCTTTCAGCAAGTTTTTATATATAACATACTGTTTACCAGCTAATTGGTTGACTGTTCTATATAATCTTCCAGTTCCTGCCATATAAGCTATTTATAAATGGCTTATTATATTTTCTTTCTAATATAATTGAACATCGTATGGGAAAATACTTTCTTGATTTAAAAGAAAAGACGATAGAATTTTAAAAGATTATGATAATAAGGGCAGAAACAAATTCTTTAAAAATACACCATTGGTAATTGTAGGAAAGTGTATACAGCCAACTAACTTGATGAAGAGTGTTTAATTCACCACAAATATGAATCCACCGAACTGCACCATTTTTTTAATAGAAGTGCTTTAATAGGGCAAGACCAATAGCTATAAAAAGCCTCCATCTTATTTCCCCTAATATTAACTGGTGTTCGCTACACTGCATGATGTTGGCTCTTACTCAAGGACGACCATTGGAAAATTGAATATTTTTTATTACACAGTCTGTGCCTTCAGGATGTGTCAGCTTCAAGTAATCAATAGGAAATATTAAGCTTTGTCACTATTCAGATAGAAATTGTGGCATGCACTGTGCAAGACACAGCATGGATGCCAACTACCTCTGGACTTGATGCACTTTTTTAATTTTCTTGTTTTATTTATTTAGTTATTTGTTTTCCCTAGAAGCTACATTTTTGTGTCTAAGATGTTATAAGATTCCTCTGTACCTTGGGTAGGTGTGGTCCTGAAGTACAGTAAATTTGTAAGCTACTCTTCAGAGTCAAGTGGACCAGGGCAAGGAAGGAAGGAGTTGTAGAACTGTATCAAGATTTAGTGCTCATTATCTTTTTTAAAAAAATTGTATTTATTTTATTTTTGGCTACACTGGGTCTTTGTTGCTGCATGTGGGCTTTTCTCTAGTTGAGGTGAGCGGGGGATACTCTTCATTGTGGTGCGTGGGCTTCTCATTGCGGTGACTTCTCTTGTTGCAGAGCACGGGCTCTAGGCGTGCGGGCTCCAGGCGTGGAGGCTCTAGAGCGCAGGCTCAGTAGTTGTGGCGCACGGGCTTAGTTGCTCCGCGGCATGTGGGATCTTCCCGGACTAGGGCTTGAACCCGTGTCCCCTGCATTGGCAGGTGGATTCTTAACCACTGCACCACCAGGGAAGCCCTCATTATCCTTTTTAATTTCTTTAACATAAAAATAGAAATTGTTAGAATGATAGACTTCCTGGGTTCTTGATTCTTTTCAAATCAACCAATGTGACTGAAGGCTCCCAAGCACCAGTGAGTCACTTGTCCTCTTACTTCCAGAATCACTTGTCCTGAGCAACTGATGAGTCCTAATGGAAGAAAACTGAGCACATGGATTTGTGTATTTGTTAATCCTAACAATAACCCTATGAAGCAAGGGTTATCATCTTCATAATTTCAAGTAAGAAAACCAAGGCTTGGAGCAATTAAGTAACTTACTCAGGGTTACAAAGATAGGAGGAGCTATGGATTCAAATTGCTTGTGAGTCTAGCACTCAGTCTTTCCATGCCTTACAAATCATGCCTTACATCTTTCCATGCCTCACCATCATGCCTTACAAATACAAATTGTTGGTGCTTGAAGGACCAGATATAGCTTTGGATTATTTGATAAGAGAGGTAAAGAGTAGAAAGCGGTACCCATTCTCCTTTCTTCTTTACTCCAGGCTGCTTGTGAGTCTCTCTTGTTTTTATTGTTTGTTTATTTGTTTGTTTGTTTTTTTCCTATCGCCTTCCTGCTTTGCAATCGCTTCCTTTTTTTTTTTTTTTTTTTGAGCATGACCACAAGGGAGATCAACATGGCCTTTAAATAAAATGGGAAAAATATTTAAGAAGTACATTTCATATGCTGCAATGAACTGCTCTTTTGTTCTTTGCTAAATGGAATGTCAATCTTGAAGTTCATTTTCCTATCATGATGACTTAGATGCATGTTAATGGCATTTAAAGTTGAATATATTCTCTCCCTTCATTCATTCACTTTTACGGGAAAACATTTTCTGGATGTTCACTCCATGCCAAGTCCCATCCATGTTAAGGGCTGGAAATATAACATGAACACATCTTGCTTTAAGGTCTGCACAGCCCACAGAAGGAGTTCATCCCATCGAATCTTGTATTATGCATGGGGCATCACTTCTTACTTAATTTGGTAAACTATGACCTGAGGCTGACGGGGGCTGGAGCAACTTGCTCAAGGTTGTGTAAGGCTATCATGTGGCAGATCCAGGGTTTAAAGCTAGTTCCACCTCTGACTCCCCAAGCTAGGGCTCTTTCATCAAATCAGTGGCTCCTCCTGACTTTGAGATTTAAGATCAACTAACTAACTGGCTGAATGACTAACTAACTATATAAATAACTATCTGGATAAATAGAGCAAAAAATTTAAAAAATTTGGACCAGCATAAAACATTCAGCCTTTATTTGGCAAATGAAGCTGTTAATAAACAGGTTCCCTCCTCAAAAAAAGTAACTGTGAGCTTTCACAATTGTTTCACAAAAGAAATTTATTTTAATACCAATAGAGGAGAAAGGAGAAGTCAGTACAAAAGATTAGTTTTTAATTGGACTAAATTTACCTTTCAGAAAAACTCACTACTAAGCCCTAGTTTTCTCTTTTTGTCCATATGCAGGTGAACTGGCCTCAGGAAAGGAGAAGATCAGCAGATTTAAAGGTTACAGACCCAAGATGTAGGAAGAACAAAGAGCAAGAAACAGGGAGGTTTACATTTCTCTTTCGAAGCAATTGTTTGCTTAAAAGAAGCCTTGCTGCCTTCATTAGCAAACATCACACAATTTACAATTAGAAAAGCTTTTTAGTCCACAGGAGACAAAATTTAGAGAAAGCTTTCCCTTTTATTTGCATTTTACAGCAATCCAGCAATCCATTACACTTCATTGTAAAAAGTTAAAACTTGTCTTTAAACAAGTCATTACTTCAGGGAAAGAAAATTGATATAGGCACAATTCCTCACTTTGCTAATGGCCCTCCTGTGTGTGGATGCCAGCCCTGCCAGAGTGACCCAGTGCTTCTAGGATGGGACTCCAATTGCAGAGAATGGTAAGGGTGCATGCAAACCTGGCAATGGTGATGGATTTTCTAGTCCATTGCAGGAGAGACACTTTAAAAATGAAATGCAGAAAAGGAGATAACTAAACAAACCGAATAGAGAGACATTCTACAGTAAAACTGGTATGGACTCTTCAAAAATATCAAGGTCATGAAAGACAAGGGAAGGCCAGACTGTTTTAGACCAAAGGAGACTGAAACGACCTGACAGCTAAATGCAGTGAGTGATCCTGGATTAAAAAAAAAAAAACTGCAATTGGGACAATTAGGGAAACTAGAATATCGTATATATCTATATAGACATTAATATTGATATAGATGTTAAAAACTGTATCCGTGTTAAGTTTCCTGTGTTTGATAACTGTAGTGTGGTTATAAAAAGGAAGGTCCTTGTTCTTAGGAAATATACTCTAATGTATTTAGAGGTAAAATGGTCATGCTGTCTGTCACTTACTTTCAAATCGACAATACTACTACTTGTTGTTGCTGTTGTTATATTGAGAGAAGCAGAGAGCATTAAAGCAAATGTGATCAAATGATGACAACTGCTGAACTTAGATGCAAGATGTACAGAAGTTCATTGTACCTTTCTTGCCATTTTTCTGTAAGTTCAAATCTTTCTTAATAAAAAGACAAAATATGAGCCTCCTGCATCCACTCCCACCTCTAGTAATGCAATTGGAAATTGCACCTTTGGTTTGAAAAGTGCTTGAGAGCAAGGAGTCTGTTTATTTCACATGAGTTTGATCTGGGCTCTGAATGTAAAGATAACATTCAAAAGTGCTCAAATTCTAAACTCTTTCTTTGGCCATCTATCTACTCTGCGCACTCAGATATGACACAGAAAAGTGCTGATTGTATGCACGTAGACTCTGGGAACAGGTGGAGCATATGGAGGAGAAAAAAAGAACATGCTATTTCCAGTAGCTGTTTAAAAATTTCCCTGTCTTCTCCTTAAATAATAATAAACTTTGCTATTTGCATTGCCCCTTTTTATGAAGTATCCTGCATGTCTTATAAACAGCTCAGTAAACCTCAGAATATACCTCTGAGGTGGATAGGTGTCAGTGCTGTTTTACAGTAAGGAAAGTGAGGCACAGTGAGGTTAATTGTTTGGATTGGCCTTGAAAATGAGTTACAGAAGCCAGAAATTGGAAGAGACCTTAAAGGTCAAGCCCCTACTTGATGCATGAATTCCCGCTACACAGCTGCTGCTGAACACCTCTTTGTTCGAGAAATTCTCTACCTCAATTTTTGCAACTCAATCCATTTCTGGACAGTCTTAGTTATATTTAATGAGCAACAGTTTAAAAGAAAAGTACCTATGTTTTCTTGAGTCTTAGTCCAATTCCCTTTTCACTGTACCACAACAGTGGATTTGATGTCATAAAAATGAATGTAATAAACCATTGGGACCCAAAGATAAGATCGCACATTTTAAATGTTAATTTCATCTTCATTTGAACTTGGAAACATGCAAAATGGCATTTCACAAACCTG